TTCTTATGTTTCTGCTCTTACAAGTAGGCTTGCACTGTATTATCCATTCCATGAAGGCCTCTCCTCCCCAAGGGTAACTATAGGCAAGAGATAGTGCAGTCCAATGTAGCCATACTGCCATAGAGCTAGAGAGGGTAGTACCATGGCCTAGGCCCAGTGCAAAGACAGTAGGCCTCCACACAGATCCATGGAGCCCTCCACATTTGGGGCAGGTCCTATGGCCTTTTCCACAGAGAGCTCCCTAAGGGATGAATTCCCCAAGCAGGTCCTTGGAAGTTAACCCCCAAAATTTCACCACTAGCTGAACTTTTGATTAAAATACAAAATTAGCCATGTTTTGTTCATGAGCAGCTGGGTGCATCTCACAGCATGAAATAGCTGATGGTTAGAAATTATAATATTGTCTTAGGGTGACCAGTCCCTTTAAGGAGAGAAGGGACTAGGGATGCCTGTCCTATAATTAATTAGCTACTACTTCCCAGCCTGAGAGGTAGGGCTAAGGGGGTCAGGTGATAGTTTAATGGAGACCTAGGCCTTAAAAAAGGAGAGAGCGCTCAGTCAGGGGTTAGAAGCAGAGGCAATGGGTAGGCTCTTGTGGGAGATACTGAGCTATGGTCTGCAGGAAGGTACTCCAGGGAATCAGCTTGGGGCCCGGTGCCCTTTACTAGAGCAAGGAAGGTGACAAGGAACAGAGTGCACTAGGGAAACCAGCCTGGGGGCTGAATTCTCTAGCCCAGAGTCTGAGACACTCTTGGGGTGCCTCACAATACTTTGCTGCTGTAGATTCCACCTGGCTTCCTCACAAACAGCATGCAGGTCTTAATGGTAGCCTAGAAAGGGGATAAGAACTGGGCCCAGAGGGCGGGCTGAAGAGATGCCCCAAAGGTCAGAAGAATCTTTTGCTTGTTTGGATTTTTGCTACTGTAGAAGGAGTTAAGTTTTGTTTGTGACTTGGCCCTAGGGCTCAGGTACATCTCCAACACACAGGTGGGTGGAGAGCAGAGGAAACCTACTTTGGGGAAGGAAACTGAAGCAGGGAATGCCTGCAGTACCACACTCAGGCAGCAGAGGTTGATATGGGGGCAAGTATGCCCTACAACAAACATCAGTACCACAACTTTTAGTTGTATTTATTCCACACAGGTCATTCTTGCATGTTGAATCTCTAGAATTTTGGTACCTCTTTTGTTAAATGGCAAAGGACATTTTCTACATCCTGAATGAATTATCCACCACTACTAGTTTAAAGTAATTCATCTAAACAAGGTAGAAGTCTTATTTTTAAATACACGATTTCATTCCAGAGCCTTTAAATGGAATTAAAATTGAGAATCAAATTAAACAGTGGAGTGGAAGGCATTCTACGGCTACAACTGTTTGCAATTGGAAAAAAGAAAAGAAAACATTCTGTTTGGATGTAAACATTCCCCTGCTATGCTAGAAACCCTAACACAGCAATAGTGTGCTGGGGCATGAGACAAGGAAAGTATTCATTAAACAAAGATCAAATATAGAAAACAGCCCAATTTAAAAAATATTCAGTTTTAATTATTAAACAAGTCCCATTTTTAAAAATCTCATCTGTCCCTTTGTGAAATGCCCACTAACGTGCAGGACAGCGATGCTATTAGTTCTGTGATCAACAGTATTTTCCAGGAAGAAAAAAAAATGAAAACCAAATGGAAATGTGTTATGCCCCAAAAGGAGATTAGGCTGATGCCACTGCATACACTAAAGATGGATGTTTTATCTGGCTTGACTAATGCTTTGTGATGCTTTGCTTTACTAAGGTCCAAACCTATAAACACTTACTCATGCGAGGAGGAATAGAATCTAGCCCTATACATACTTTTCTACCCTGACTGGCAAATCATATAATGCAAGGTCTAGATCCCTTACAGGAAAGAAGAGCACCATAAACATCACTCACAGTTGAGCTATCTCAAAGTACTACTTGCGCAAAAGCAGGGATAGCGAAGCTTAGACTTGGCACCTTTTCGGCTGACACCTGACCTGCTGGCCCAGACACAAAACAAGCCAAGTGCTCCAGTGTGAAAGAAAAAAAGAGCACTTTAGAATAGCAGTTGAAGCCACATCTAAATCATATATGGTCCTCCCCCCACCCCCCGCCCCGCAAATTAGAGCTCAAAGGTTATCACTTTGCTAGAGTCAAGTGTTTGGTGAGCAAAGGTTTCTCCAGATACAGCTCATTCAGCTAAAGAGAGGATGATAAGACAGTCACCTTATCAGTCAGGTCAGGATAATGTCAATATTATTTCATTTTTCAAATGCTCAAAATTAATTTCAAATACTTTGGGTAGAAGTTACTAGAGGTGTTTTTACAGTGAAGAAATTCCATTAAATTGATGCTGCCTTTACTGTAACCTCACTTTTAGCCACTTGACACTATCAGCTAGCTCAAAGAAAAATCCCTTTGGCTATCTTAATTCTCCTCTGTTGTATGCTGCAGAAGAGACACAAGAGGCTTGGTGTTGTCAGAGTCATGTTGCATCTGCCACTTTTTCTATTTTCAGTGTTTTTAATTTGCCCTTTGCAACAACAATCAATGTCAAACCAGAACACTGAAAAGCACATCTGTGAAAACACGTTCTCTATCGTGCTAGAAATCAGAAAAAACATTTGAAGTTATCTCAAGCAGTACATACACTTGGGCCTGCTCGACTACTTCAGAATCCCACAACGCTGTAATGGTGCCTACTCTCCCAAGCAAGTCAGTTAATGCAAACTCAGGTCCCGAGCATTTTAGAGTATTTCCAACTAGAGATTCCATTATATTTGGTGAAACTTGGCAAAGAAAAAAATGCTGTGCACACAACTGGGATGATTACTAACCAAAGGCATGGCAACTTCAGTGTTCATAAGGGAAAAGGCCAGTCATTCCCATGGACAGAATGGGAGTTACTAGAAGTGCCTCTCATTATCTGCCTGTCCACCAGAGAATAGCTCATCAAGGTGAACAATATAAGTAACTAACTGTTGAGGACAGTAGGAGGCTGTAAGGGCTGAGTTATGCAAGTTCAGGGGAAAACAAATACTGGAGACAGTTAAGTTCAGAGGCAGTAGTAAGGCTATGTGTTTTCCATAACCCCTGGAGGAACACCCGTGCGGCTCTTACACAGTGCTTCTCCAGCAGAAGAAAAGTGTCATTGATGATAGCTGTGACATTCTGTATCTTGGGGGAGCACCCTGTAGTCCCCATATGCCTCATTTATATATGATTGTGATCTTACATATAAAGCATGCCTTGTAAGGTATCAGGGGAAAGGTTATGATCTGCTGAAAATCATTTGTCTATCCATATCATTAACATATGAAATTATGAGAATTATGCTGTATGGTTGTCACTAAAACATGCTGTAAATTGGGGGAATCCGCCAGATATTAGCTCCCCAGAGGCAACAGCAAGGAAAGTAACCAATGCCCAGGCGGGGTGTGAAACAACCCATCAACAGCCATTGTCCAGCAAGGGACCTACAATTCAATGACTCACCCACATGAAGCCACACTAGGGGAATTGCTCAACTTTGCCTGGAGACTCAGCAATACCCACCCAGACATGCCTGGACTTGTGTTTTCCAAGCACATGGACTGAGAGTATAAACCAGACACAGTGGCCACATGCTTGGCTTTTTCTCCTGCCCCCACCCATGACGCAAGCAACAAGGACACTGAGAAGACTGAAGACTCCAACAGAGGAGACTGGCCCAGCTTTAAGGGACAAATCTGTATATTAAGGACTGCACTATCCAGTGGGGTGAGAAAAACTGCTTAATCTAATTGCTGCCCAGTCTAACAGGGTTGAGAGTTTAGACTGCATGCTTATATTTTATTTCTTTTGGTAACTAACTCTGACTTTTTGCCTATCACTTAAAATCTATCTTTTATAGTCAATAAAGCTGTTTAACTGTTTATCTCTACCAGTTAGTTTGTACGAAGTCCATGGCAAATCTGCTCAGATTTTGCAAAGGCTGGTGTCTATCCACTTTCCATTGATAAAGTGGTGAGCTAATTAATAAATTTACCCTACTCATCTTGAGCAGTGCAAGACAGTATATTCCTGGGGTACAGTGCTGGGAGGGGGTGATTTGGCTCTGATGCCTGTGTGTGTGAGATTCATGAGCGGCTCTGGGAGCATCCATGCAATATAGCTGGCTGTGGGGCTCCACATGCTGTTGTGCTGAGCAATCACAGCGCCTGGAGGGGTTTGCTGCTGGTCACTACCAAGGCATTGTGAGAGGCAGCCCACGTGGGAGTTAAGGGGACACAGTCCCACAATCCCGGGCTGTAGCCCAGGGATCCTGTCACAATAGCATCAATGTTAACAACCATTTCCCCAGTCAGCACCTGCAGCAGTAGCAATGGGTGGGAGACAACATGATTGCTGAGTAGAGGAATTTTACAACAAGTAGTAAGAAAAGGAGAGTAAAGAACAGGAAAATATGGAATTCAAATATGGCAATCCTGAGCACCTGGACAATGCATTTAATTAAAACAAGCCTTTTCAGTCTCAGAGCTATAAAATTAACAATTGCATTTTACAATACTTGGTGGTCCACTGACTACTGGAATACTCATGGAGGCCCTGTTTTGGGACTTTCAAAGTGTTACTGTCTCAAGTACAGCATGAATTATCCAAGCACAACTATAAGCCATACCAACTTCTGGATAACAGGAGGGTAGATATAAACAACTCCGCTAAAGTCATTGGAATGAGGTGTATTTACAGCAGCTGAGAATCTGTCCCCAGAACGGTTACTGCGCTCAGGAAACCCTTGTAAAACACACAGCCAAGTTCCAAGGAAACAAATAGTTCCATGTCCAAAGTATTTTATGTAGATGATCCTAGTAAAATTTCCTTCCATGCACAAAAACGTTCTGGTGCACCATCACAATGAAAAACCAAAACCACAAAGGTTCAGAAGGCAATTAAAGGGAACATGGCAGCACAAAGAAGAACAAAAAAATGAGTCTAAGGCTAAAAGTTAAGCACGACATTTTTATAAAAAAAATTTATTTAGATGAGGTCTCAAACATTTTTAATATGAATTTACAAACATTTCAAGTTAGTGCATAATATTGTGACAACCAAGAATGGGAAAAACAGAACAGATAATGGTTGATTTTCTGATACCTAATTATCATCTTGATCATATGCCCTAGTATGTGAGGTGAGGGGGAGAGAAAAAACAGAACACTGGGAAAAAAACCCAAATAATTAAGCCATGATCCATCTAATCTAACTTTCATTGGCACCAGATAATAACCATTCATAACTTGATATTTACAATGCTAGATATACTATTGGGATGCATGGAAGAATAATTTGTCATCTCTATGTGTGGTGAAGAAGCAAGGTATGTATGACTGCCCTATGGCTTTTTTGAATGTGCCAATGGAAGTCAATGCTTCTTTTCCCCCAGAGGAAAAAGAGAGGAAATGTTGTGTGAATCTTATAAAACAACTGTCAACAGCTGCTGATCTATTGAATGTAGGGTATTATTCAACTCAGTACATGTTGTTGCAGATATTCTTCATGAAATGGCAAAGTTAATAAAGACAAATATTTGAATTTTTTTTTAAATAAGTGTAATACATAGATTTTGAAATATTCAAGTGTGTTCTTTTAAGGACCCAGAACAGCACAAAATAGTTTGCTTGTATGAGAAGGGACAATCTGGCAATTACAATATTCACTTTGACTTATACTTTCTATGTAGTATTTTAGAGTAGGATTCCCCTTCTTGAAGTTGTTTCAGACTTCATTCAAAGGCGGTTCAACTCATTCACCCTCCTGAATCTTTGCCCTCTTTAGATAGTCTGTGTCAAATGCTGCACTGCAAGTATTCTTACTGTCCAACAAACTGGCTTGATTGTAGTCCATTGCTACAACTGCTGGTTGGGTAAAATGAATCTCCTATGTCTTCTTTAGCAGAGCATGCAATGCAGCAAAAGCAGAGGTAAATGGGTGCAATAGAATACCTGAGCTCCACTTAGACAACAATGGAGTCAGGCTGTTGGTACCTATAAAAAATTCTGTATTTAACAAATGCACACACATTTAAATTTTAGAGTTAGTCAGTTATAGTATGTAACTCACCAATTTAGTTGGACTGCCCTTCCAACTAGCTTTCTCCTTGAATGTGGTATAAAAAAATTGAGAATTACCTAAAATTAATCTACACATAAAAGTTTCAAGAAGTTGTCTCAGATGATGCACTGATGCCAACTATCAAGTCCAAAACAAAAACATCGTTTCTCACCCCAGCCCTTAAAAATTGTTTCTTGATTGCTTCCTTATGAAGTAAAGAGTGCCTCAAGTGTTTTTTGATTTTTTTAAAGTTCTTCTAATTTTTACATTAGAAATATCAAGTCTTGATTTTGTTCTAGCCGTGATCAACCTTCCGTAGAACAGGAGAACGGGGGTGGGGTGGGGGGGGATAAAACATTACAAGAGACTGAAATCTAAGGTGTAGTTTTCACAGCCTTTAATTGTAAAAGGAAAGAATGTTTAGTCACACTGCTTCAAAACTGATTTTTTTTATTGTTTTGTTTTTATGAAACAAAAAAAAATGAAAAGAAATATTCAAACAAACAGCTGGGAGAAAAGCTCCCTGTGTGAAGACAGCATCCCTTTCTCTCATTCAAGAAATGAAAAAAATTTAAGTTTAATGTGATGTTACTATTCCATTTAGTTCTATAGTCTTCCAGCACAGACAACACAACTTTTATTTCTTGGAGACCATCTTTATACATCATAAAGGAGCAATAAATAGCTCAGGAAAAGAAATGTTTTCCTTTGCAGGTCACCCATAAGGAAAGCAACTCCACCACACTTTTGTGCCTCCATCAGTGCCCTGCCATGGAAGCCTCACACTTTAACTTAGGTCTGGTCTATAACAGATATCCTGGCATAGCTATTTCAGTTTGGAATGCTAATTTTTTTTTTTTAAACTGAAATAGTTATACCTGTATGTGCTCCAGTGTGGATGCAGTTATAGAGGTATGAGAGATTATTTCCTTATGGGAAGCTACACTGATATAAGCTCTTTTATACCAATACAACAGCATTCATGCTAGGGGCAGCTATACTGCTTTAACTACACTGATAGAGTTAACTACCATTATAGTTAAGGTGGATACAATTTTTCATTTTAGACAAGCCCTTACTGTAAAATACAAACAAACTGTTTATCTGAACCCATTTAAAAGAACCCTCCCATACACATTTAACACTTTTGTGTATGCTAGTAAGTTCTGCTAGTAAGCTTCCTCAAATTCTTAGGAAAACACTGCAAATTTGAGCCCAATCCTATTCCTGGTGAAATCAGAGGGAGTTTTGCCACTGACTTCAATAGGAAGAGGATCAAGCCCTCTGGTGCTTAATACAACAGCTGTTCCATACCCAGTACTAATAATTAGAATAACCTTTAACAGAATTAAGAGTCTGATTAAGATTACAAACTGCAAATCCAATCTCTAACAGGATGAACAAATATGTCTAACATGTTATATTTAGAGTACTCACATGGTAAGATCTGCAGTGAAGTAAAAACTGATCTGCTACATTTCAGAAATGAGAAGTCTAAAGAGAGATGTCAGAACAAATTGCATAAGCATAGAGTATTATCATTACAAAAAATGTACTAATGCCACAATAGCTGCACTGGGAGCTATTATAGTACTTGTGATTTGGTACACATTCTATGGTACCCATTTCCACTGTTTTTGCAGTTGGCTCAGACAAACCAGTTTTGATATGGTACAAAACACAGGACTTAGTTTTGTGATTAAATACTTGCAATTCTAGAAAAGTTATCTATCTCCAGATCACGCTACTACAGTCCCACCCTTTAACAGCTCTGTGTCAGTCACTATAAAATATAATATAGAATAGCAAGAATCCAAAAGGATGCATCAAAAATTCATTTGCCTCCTAGGGTCCTCAAAACAATTAAAAAAAGAATAGTGAATGCATTAACAAAGCCTTTCAACTAGCATACATTTGACCTGAGACTCAATATTCAGTCTTTGACCTTGTATATACTGGGGATTTGCTTTCATTTCAGTCATTATTATAACTGGACAGGTGCAACCCCTCATGTACACAGACAGAGCTGCTATATGTACTGGTGGAAGAGCTCCTCCCTGCTTCAAATGGAATAAACTACACCAGGTGTACCTTAGGGTTGCACCAGTCCAGTTACACCGATGACTGTAATAATGGCAAATCCTCAATGTAGACAAGGCCTTCTTCTTGTGCTTTTGCACAAGGTAGGCTAAAATTCTTGTGGGTTTAATCTGTTGAATCCTGAGTTTGACTTGAATCCTCTATTCGTTAGAAGTGGTGCAAACTGTGCCCACCAAAACTCTGGTTTATCTCACTTGCATTGACATGCATCCTTGACCAGCTTTTATCTTTCACCCCACCTCCAGATGCCAAAACCCCCACAAATGACAACAGCAAAATCTCATGCACATTCTGTTTTGTATATGAATAACTCTATCATGAGGAACATATTTAAAACAATCATAGGTCAATTCTCCTGGTTTTCTTTCCCGCCCACCCACGATTTCTTGGGAAGCAACATATTCTTTACAAAGAGGAAAAACAGATCGTTGGGGAGCCTTAACATTACAACAGTATCAATAACTAATTTCTCTTGCGTAGTAGCACGTCCAAAAAATTAATACAAGTAGGGAACACATTTTGTAATAAGTGTCCTGTTCTAACTTGCTGGAGCTTTGTTTACACCCTAAACCATGCTGCATTAGTCAACTAAGAATCCATAGTTGACTTTTTTAGCCATATAATCTGTATCTGTTTGAAAAAAATCTCTAGACTATTAGCAGTGAGGCCCTGTCTCAACTCGAGTGACATTCTGAGCATTGCTGCTCTTCTGCTTTCCGTGGTCTTTCAATGTGCCCTCCTTCCTCTTCCCCTTTGGATGCACAGCATGCATGGGCAGCACCCTGATGCCCCTGGCACCTTGTACATTTCTGCTTTAATGCACAGACAGCGTGGGAGCACGTGCCACTGTTGCAAGCCCGGCACACCTGACTTTTATCATCCGTCCTGGAATTTTGAGGCCGCAGTGGAGCCTGCTGGTCACCCGCAGCCTGCGGCTGCCTGGTTGTCGATGGCTTTAACGGGGCCATCCACTTCATCCAGAGATTCAAGTCAACATCCCCCCAGGCCATGGTGGGGTCCTTGGCCGCCAGCCGCCTGAAGTCCTCGTCATAGTGCAGCCAGGAAGTGCCGCCGTAGGTGGCGTGGAATTTGCGGATGACATCCAGGTATTTGAACATGGCCCCACACCTGTTGGGGTGCTTCTCGCACAGCACACTGGCGTACACCAGGAAGGCGGAGACCCACTGGTCCAGCGTGTCCCCCAGCCCCTGGCCAGGCTCGTGCTCCGGGGCCAGCTCTGTGTGGAGCAAGGAGAACAGGTCAATGAACTCCCCCCTCCAGATCCGCTCCTTGGTGGCCTTCGCCAGCTGGTAGCCCAGGGGTCTCCGCAGCCCCACGTAGGGACTCGCTGCCTCCGGGCAGGGCTCCCCCTGGGTGGCGGGCGGAGGCCCCGGCGAGCTGCTCGCAGCCTCCGGGCCCTGCGGCCCGACCGGGCCTTGCGGGGCCGCCGCCAAGGCCGCCTGCCGCTCCAGCCACCTGGGGTTCACGTACACGGTCCTCAGCCGCGGCGCCGCCCCCGCCCTGCTGCCCCCGGGCCCCGGCTCCCGCGCCAGCCCGGCCAGCTCCCGGAAGATGCCCAGCGCGGCGGGCAGGCCGCTGCCCTGCGCTCGTGGGGCCGGCGGGGCCAGGAGCGGGGCGAGAAGCGGGACGGGGGCGGCCCACGGGTGGGAGAGCCCGGCAGGCCCCGCCGCGCTACCGGGCGGGGCCGGGACCAGCCCCGCTAGGCCCAGCTCTCCCTGGGCGCCGCCGAGCACCTCCTCCCGCGGGGCCCAGCGGGGCAGGCCGAGCCCCGCCCGCTCCCGGGAGCCTCCCGCCTCTCGGCGCCCCGCCAGCGGCGCCCCCTGCGCCTGGGGGGGCCCCGGGGCTCCAGGCCGGCGCCGGCGGCGGCTCCTCCGCCTCCCACGTGGCATCGGCGCGGCTGGGGCTGACGCGCCACGGGAGGCGGCGGCTCCAGCCCCAGTGGTGGGGCGCGGCGGCAGGAGCCAGCCCGCAGGGGTGGGGCGGATCGGTGCTTCCAGGGCCCTACAGCCGCCCAGGCCAGCGAGTCCCGTCTCTGCTCCCCGGAACTAGGGACCCGCAGGGCCGGCCCCGCCCCCGTGACAGGGACTCACCGCCGCCCTCCGGCCCGAGCTGCTCCTCCCTCCCCAGTTTTACACCCCCTCCTCCCTCGGGCAGGGAGTGCCACACCGTGGGACTCACATCTGTGTTCCGGGGTCCAATCGCAATGCAGTTGCCCTGTGTGCGGTCCCCCGCTTCATGCCCACAGCTTTCTTTGTAACCCACAACAGAGAGAGCTGCGGCGCTGCACTGGTTGTACGCGGGTCCCCAAGGCTGTTGTTGCAATCAGGGACTGTTTCTAAGACCCCACTTAGGGAAGCACGTGCTAGCTGAACTCAGTTTCAACACAATATAGCTATGGGCAGACTGTCCAACTCAAATCGTGTTACAAGCTAAGGTCCCAGCAGGTACACAAAGCAGCTGGGTGGTAACATGGTTTATGATTGTGGCTAATCTGGGCAAAAGCATGGTTTGGTTAGTCAGGATGAAAAGAACAGGAGTACTTGTGGCACCTTAGAGACTAACACATTTATTAGAGCATAAGCTTTCGTGGACTACAGCCCACAGGATGGACATGGCCAGTGTGAGCTACGTCTGTACCTGGGCTAATACATCTTTTTAAAACCTGGCTATAACATAGTTTGGCTCCTCCTGCCACACTATCCAGCAAATTCTGTTTTAACTAAATACAGTTGTTAAACGTGGTTGCTTGCTCTGTATAGGTGAGGGTCTAATTTATCTAAAAACTAGGACCAGGTTTAGATGGGGCCTTAGTGCAGGCAGCTCCGTTCTACTGAGACAATGTTATCAGTTTAAGGGGAGGGACTGTGGAAATAGATCCTGAGAGGGGACCATTCACCCCATGACATGGTGGCTTATAGCCAAACAGTTTCATTTGTGTGATAAACAAGTGTGTGTGCCACTGTTGCCAACTTTCACGCGGTAAATAAGCACCCCGACTTTCACAATAAACCAAAAATCAAGCTAATCCCATTTCAAAATAAGGCCAAAACAAGCGAATCCCTAAGAACCCCAACACTCTATTGACTGGTTTCAGAGTAGCAGCCGTGTTAGTCTGTATCCGCAAAAAGAACAGGAGTACTTGTCAAGTATCAGAGGGGTAGCCGTGTTAGTCTGAATCTGTAAAAAGCAACAGCGGGTCCTGTGGCACCTTTGAGACTAACAGAAGTATAGGGAGCATAACTTTTTGTGGGTAAGAACCTCACTTCTTCAGATGCATCCGAAGAAGTGGGCTGTAGTCCACGAAAGCTTATGCTCTAATAAATTTGTTAGTCTCTAAGGTGCCACAAGTACTCCTGTTCTTTTTACTCTATTGACTAGATCCCCCGGCGTGCAGTGTGCAGGGCCCGCTGTGCACCCCTGACTCTCTACCCCACTTGCCCCTGCTTGCCGGGAGCCAATCAAAAAAAAGAAGCAACAAGCTACAAGCCAAACAAGCAACAAACTACAAACAAAAAACTAGCCAACAAGCAGCTCACAAGCCAATTAAGCCAAAAACAAGCCCAATTTCTGTTTTTTCCCCCACGGGTTTGGCATGTGCTGCCGGTGATTCAGGGAACACAACACAGTAAATGGCATTTGAGAGAAACATTGTTATGAGTTTGTATTTGCAGATTCATTTAGCTCTTTTCTTTGGTTAGTAAGACTTAATTTCCTGTTGGAGTTATATGTTCATCTGAACCTCTTGGCTGAATAATGTAATATGTTGGGAGTGTTTGATTTGGAGTGTAAAGCTGATTACTGAAAGGCTCTATCTAATCTATAATAAAAAATATTATGTGGGGGCCCAGCATCATTCCAGCTCCTTATTTATCTCATTTAAATATTAATTTGTATCTCTATTTATAAATAATTTATGTTTTTAAATATAATGTCCTTATGAATCAGGCTCTAGCAGATAAAGAGCTGCTGGTCTGAGTGAAGTCTGCTGACATTAGGAGGTGCCATAGCTACTTACCTGTGGAGTTCTGAGCCAGGTCAGGAGTGAGTAAATGCAAGGACTATGGAGGGAGCCAGGGTTCAGCTTCAGATCCAGTCACGTCTAAACCTTTTAGTATTAGGATGGTCCAGTCCTGTTCCCATTGAAGTCATTAACAAAACTGAAAGGTATTTGAGCCTAGATGCTCAAAGGCATTTAGACATATAACTCCCATTGATTTCAATGGGAGTGAGGAGCCTAAACACCTTTGAGGATCTGGGACATGGTTACTATCCTTCATGGACATTATGTTCACCCACTTGCCAACGGAAACAGAATTCTGAAGTCTTGCTTTCAGAGCACACCCCTGTCGAGTGGCAACTCTGAACAGGGTTAGACAATATGGTGGTAAAAACACCTCTATGCTGGTGGTGTATGCTACCACTTACACCGTGATGGAGATAAGGCCTCTGTTACAGACTTACCAACCCTTCCTTCTTCATCTGAGGACTAGTAAAGCTATATCTTAGGTATCAGCCTATTGTGACATCACTGTTTTATTTAAAATCTCCAGTCCTCCAATTGGTCCTCTGACAAAACACATTAATTCAAGACTTGGAGTTTATAATGTAAGAAAGAAGCAGGAAAAAATAAGATAACTACATATTTTTAATTATACTTGAGCCCATTTTGATACATTGTACAGCAGTAATGAAAGGATGCAAACCCTTTTTCTTTTTCTTTCCAATTCACTTTTAACTTAAGTTTAACAAGGTTTTAGTCACAGTAGCTGGAGGATCTGTGTTCAATTTGTGAAATGAAGAAGTTCATATTTTGTAGCAACTTTTCATTCATTTTCTGTAGTGACTATGAGCAAAAATTACTGCTGGCATAAGTAGGTGCATGTCTAGTGATGAGTTTTTAAACATTTTGTTTTTAAATTCCTCTCAAGTAACTTAAAAAAAAACAACCCCCAAAACTCAACCTCTTACTAACTCTGAATTCATCAAACTGGGGCATTAGTCTTATCAGAATTCGTTGAAAGTTTTGTACAGCACAATAATTCCTCTAAAACTTGCCTGAGCAGCCTGCTAGCACAATAGTGAGTGTTGTAGGATCTATACAGTATTTATACTGACTCTTTAAAGGTTTCTGGAGATTGAGGTTTTCTTAGCTTTAGTCTAGATTTTTTCTCATTCATATTTTGTTAACTCCTTTTGAAAATGTCATTCATGTGCCAATACACAGTAAAGATTTTTCAGTTCTGACAGCTTTAAGTAATACATTTTTAAAGTAATACATTATGTTAGGTTTGGCTGGCTCTGGGTTATATGAGTTTAAAAAAATAGTAATTAACTGGTTTAAGATATCATTTTGTGTTGATAGAACTCAAATATGGCTTTGACTTAAAACAATAACAATTGACAAATTCTGGGATCCAGTGGCACATGCAGGCTGGAATTATGGTAGCCAAAGGGCCTTGAGAAAATATATCTTTAGTTAAGCAGGAGGACAGTGGTTTCTTAGGTCTGTCTGCAGCATGGCTCAGGGCAAAACTCAATTTGTGGGGACTGAAGCTGATTCAGAATGAAACTGATGAGTGGAAAGGAAGAAGTCATAACAATTAACTTAATTCATTCCTCAGAATTTCTCTCTCCGCAATCCCATTGCTTTAGTAATCCATATTAATTCTACTACTATTTTTTTAATATACTTTTTAAAACTTGAAGGAAGTATCCTCAAACTCAGAGTGGCTGGTCAATTATTGAACAAGATAGCAACAGGATGAGTTCAGACATTAAGATTAAGATAGGGCAAATAGTAAACATTCCTTCTGGAGCAGGGGACCCAAGTAATAATTCTTGCAGAATTTAAGCTTTCATTTTACAAATGTTAAGATAACCTTCCAAATGTGAATTGGAGCTCCATTACCTGTGCTGCTGTTAATAATTTACTAAAGATTCTAGACTAGGCCTACTCTACATTTATAGTGACATAGCTATGTTGGTCAGAGGTTGAAAAACCACACCCCCTAGCATCATAGTTATGCCAACAAAACCCCCAGTGTAGACACACAAGAGATCTTCTGCTGGCATAGCTAATGTTGCTCAGGGAGTTGGTGTTCCTACACCAGCAGAACTCCTCCCGCTGTTGGCATATGTTGCATCTACAATAGGGACTATGCACTCAGAGACTTTGTAGTGTAGACATAGTCCTAGGCGGCCACTGAAAACCCTGTGGGCAGCAACATAATGAGCAATCGTGCCATATTATCAGCATAACCGGCAATCAGTGTCATATTACTGTTTCTTGAGAAAGCTATAAGCAGCAGCAAAGACAGACATTAAAAGTGTTCGCTTTGGTCTTTTATTGTGTTGCCTCCAGACCCTCTGTTCTGACAGTACCAGCCTTATCTGCTTGTTTATCAGCTTCTCACACAAACCTCCACACATCTTTTTACACGCTGCCCTTTATGCACGGAACTCCTTTTCTAAAGTAATCCGTAAATCCCTACTGTCTCCTCCTTCAAATCCCTCCTCAAAATCCACATCTGTCATGAAACCTATCAGACATCAGATACCTAACAATGGTTAGGTTGAGGGAGGAGGGGAGGGAATGCGGAGTGACATCATGTATAGCATCCCCCTTGGCTGGTAATAGCCGGAAAGCCACCATCTTTTGTTTACAGTTCCGCACGCTCAGTCGTATAGTGCCTTTGCTACTGGTTTTCTTAAGTGTTAGTGCAGGTGTAGGCAACCTATGGCATGGGTGCCAAAGGTGGCACGCGCGGTGATTTTCAGTGGCACTCACACTGTCCAGGTCCTGGCCACCAGTCTGGGGGGCTCTGCATTTTAATTTAATTTTAAATGAAGCTTCTTAAACATTTTAAAATCCTTATTTACTTTACATACAACAATAGTTTAGTTATATATTATAGACTTATAGAAAGAGACCTTCTAAAAACGTTAAAATGGCACGCGAAACCTTAAATTAGAGTGAATAAATGAAGACTTGGCACACCACTTCTGAAAGATTGTCGACCCCTGTGTTAGTGTGTTCTTTTGATCTGTACATATGTTCAATTGTGTATTTTAGTGTGCACGCC